AGACTGCGTTTGTCCATGTGCCTCATGCCTCCTTCGGAGGGCTGCTGCTGTGCTGCCATGTCTGTCCTCGTTGTGTGGTTTATGGGGGGAGTCCTTTCTAGCTCAGTTGAAGGGGGAAGAGGAGTCCAGGTTTTTTGTTGGTTTGTTGCTTTGGTTTATCTTAGTTCTTGAAAGATAGAGGAGTTTGTTTTCTTGGAAGAAGCGTGGGTGGTAACCCATCCTACTGCTCTCATTCTCCACTTTCTTTATTGTTTCCAGGTCCCAAGTCTGCTTAAAGTGATGAAAGATGCATTGTTCATCCATCCCAGTAACTTTTAGCTTTACAAATTTTGTACAAAATTTACATCTTGACTTTGTGGACCAATAATCGGTTTCATGGATATCGTTATAGGCAATAGTATACATTTTAAATGGCTCTGTATTTCTCATTTGTAAATGAAGGACATTTAATTTTAAGTATTGCTATGACAAAGCAAATCTGATTTGGGCCTATTTATAAGAGTGTCATCTGCTTTTTTAAAAAATAGACTTTTTTTTTTTAAAGATTGGCGCCTGTGCTAACATCTGTTGCCAATCTTTTTTTTTACCCCCTTTTTCTCCCCAAAGCGCCCCAGTACATAGTTGTATATTCTAGTTGTGAGTGCCTCTGGTTGTGCTATGTGGGACGCCCCTCAGCGTGGCCTGATGAGCGGTACTGTGTCCATGCCCGGGATCCAAACCAGCGAAACCCGGGCCACCGAAGTGGAGAGCACGAACTTAACCACTTGGCCAAGGGGCCGGCCCCTACAAATAAACTTTTTGTTTTAGAATAGTTTTAGATTTACAGACAAGTTTCAAAGATAGTGCAGAGTTCCCATATACTCTGCATCCAGTTTCCCCTATGGTTAACATCTTATATTGTACTATGGTGCATTCATCAAACTAGTGAAACAATAGTGATACATTATTAACTGAAGTTCATATTTATTCAAATTTCCTTAGTTTTTACCTGATGTTAGTGGATCCCATCCGGGATGCCACGTTATAGTTAGTTGTCATATCTCCTTGAGCTCCTCTAGGCTGTGAGAGTTTCTCAGACTTTCCTTGTTTAAGTTCCTAGTGGTGGCCATTGACAGTCGTCATGCTTTTAACTCCTGTTGCCGAAATTCACTCTGCCATGTTATAAACCTGAAAGTCGTCTTCTTTTCTGTGCTGAATATTCTCTTGACCTGTTTTTCTTGGGGCTGTTTATATTTAATATGTGAAACAGACTTTGAAGCTGGTTCATAATTTTCTCTTTCCTGCAGGTTTATAGAGGTATTTTTTTCCTAACCTTGTATCAGTACAGTTCAGAAAACTATTAACCAGGGCAAACCTAGAATCAGAACTCATTTTTTGCCTCTGGGATCATCCCTGAGCAACACAGGCCTAGTGAAAATAATTGAGTTTTCACTGTCTCTAAATGCCTACCTCTCTACTGTGGTTTTTCTTGTTTTACTCTTTATATTTAAGACATAAAGAAAATAATAGTCCACATAAGCTCCCTTTCCAGAAACTTCCTAAAGCAGAGTGGACTTACGTATTGTTGAAAAGGAGGATCAGAGCAACATTTTCCTTGGTCTTTTTTTTTTTTAAGGAAGTTTAGCCGTGAGCTAACATGTGCCGCCACTCCTCCTCTTTTGCCTGAGGAAGACTGGCCCTGAGCCAGCATCCATGCCCATCTCCCTCTGCTTTATATGTGGGATGCCTGCCACAGCATGGCTTGCCAAGTGGTGCCATGTGCACACCCAGGATCTGAATCGGCGAACCCCGAGCTGCCAAAGCAGAATGTGGGAACTTAACCGCTGCGCCACCGGGCTGGTCCCTTCCTTGGTCTTACTCAGATGAGTGAGATTCCTTCTGTTGGGAGGAATTAGGAATTGAATGGATGTGGAAGGGAAGAAGTGGGGCTTAGAAATAGCAGCAGTGGTCAGAGTACAGAGAGAGAGAGGATACTGACTGCTACCACCACCAGATGTTTACCACTGGGCTCCCAGGGCCCAGGCAGTGCTTGGCGCGTGGCAGTTGCTCAGATATAGGAGTAAATGAATGAGGGAGTGAACCAGTGTATGCTCGCATGCACATGAGTTGTAGAACGGATTGAGAGAATTCTCCTGAGCAATTTCTCAAAGAAAGGATAGGGTTTAAATGCTTGATGCAAACAGGGTTTTTTTGGATCTCTGCACTGACTTGTCTTTATTCTTTCTCATAGAAAACATCAGTTCTGAAGAGAAAGCCAAAAAAAATGCCAACAAGCCTCTGCTGGATGAGATTGTGCCTGTGTACCGACGGGACTGTCATGAAGAAGTGTATGCTGGCAGCCACCAATATCCAGGGAGAGGAGTCTATCTCCTCAAGTTTGACAACTCCTATTCTTTGTGGAGGTCAAAATCAGTCTACTACAGAGTCTATTATACTAGATAAAGATGTTGTTACAGAGTCTGGAGTCTAGGGTTGGGCAGACAATGGCATTTAATTTGGAATTTCTTTTGACTTTGTAGAGCGTTGCAGTCAGTGTTTACCCTGTTGATTTTGGTCTGATGGTTTGTGAACTCTTGCTGGGAATCAGGATTTCCTTGAGACTCTTAGGAGTTAATGCTTTGGGGTTAACGGGATTCCTCAGACTCAGCTGGCCCTTGGGTGCTGACCAGCAGAGTCACTAGTGGATGCTGACGTTACACGAGCTGTGTGTTAAATCTTTAAAGTCTCCGAAATAAAACCTCCCAACGTTGACCCCACCTGGCTGATGGCTAGTCCGTTGCTGCCTGCTCCACGTGTCTTATTGAGAGCCCGTAGTTACCCTGCCCTCTCATTGGAAATCCTTTTGTTAATAGTCTACATGAGGTGCAGCTGACTTTGACTGAAGGTCGTCATTTTTAAAACTTAAAAACTTAAGACCTCACAGATGATAATAGAAAATGAAATTGTCTCAATTTGATCTTGTTCTGAATGACCCAGATTGTTTTTGCTTTGGGCGTGGCTGTTTAGTTCAGTTATATTACAGGGAATTATTTTTGAGATAATCTTAAGATAGAATGTTCCAACCTGATTGATAATTTGAGGTATCAATATGCATAGAACCTCAGACATCTGTGTAAGCAAGCCTTCACAAACTCTCAGTCCTTTTTCTTCATCTGACATTCATAGTACCGTAGCAAAGCAAAATTAGTTCATTTTTGTCTTGATTTTGCTTTTTAGAGCTTCTCAAATCGAAACTGTTTTCTACACAAGCATATAGCTAACTATATTTTGTAAACTCAAATTGGCACCTACTGAATTAAAATGTTTGAAATCATTTAAATATAATTCAGTGTGTGGGGAATAACATTGCACTAATATGGAAATCACTGCCGGAGAGAGTCCGTTTTTTTTTTTTAATTTGTTGCTACTTAGGCACAAACCCTACATGATTCCAGTTTGGAATTACTTATTAGAGAGAATTGGAAATGCATATGTCCATGCTTAAATTTTTTATAGCTTTAATCTGTATTATATCTTTATTGATGGGAAGAGGTACATCTTTGTTTTCCTAAAAACAAATATGGATTAATTGCCTCAAATTTGTCTAAGTGATTGACTAGTGTAGAGATTCTTGTTTTCAGAAGGGAGGGCGGTATAGATAGAAAGGGACAAAGATGGCAGTATACACGTGATATTATTATATGTTGTTACTGAAATACTTAGATTTTTAAAATTTCAAATAATAAATCACTCCTTGTCGGAGGGTTTCCATCGATTAGCTGCAGTATATCCAGTTCACTACATAAGGGGCTGTTTATTTTTTGTGTGTGTTGTATTTCTGTTTTTTTTACCTGTTTTGTTTACCTGACGTTAGATGGTAAATCTAACTCTGTTCTCTTTTGGTTGTTCAGAAACTGGATTATTTTCTCCTAAGCAGTGCTTAATTTGTGTTTTCTAATTTTGATTCAGTAGTCCCAGCTCATAGGTGTCTACACTGTTACATCCAGAACATTTGTCAGGCTGTCCATCAACTCTCATGTATATATGGTCTAGAAACCACGGGGTTAGGCACTTCCTGGCTTTTTTTTAAATGAGAAAATATTGTATTTAAAATGTAAAATAAACTTTTAAAAAGCAGGCACTAATATATATTTCTTCCAGCCTTTGATTACAGATTTGTCCTTGCACATGTTAAGATGAATTATCTTCTAAAAATATAATTGTTCTTGGGAGCAGTGTATGTTACTTTACATAGCAGCAATTCCTGTCACGTGTTCATGTCGGAACGTTTTTGGTTTTAAACTTTTTTATTGCCTTTGGCTGTTGATTAGTACAGTACAAGTGCAATTTCAAAAAGATCCTGAAAATAATATATTTAATCAATTAAAATGTTGATCCGTAATTTGTTGACGTTTCATTGATATAGTTACTCTTTGAAGCACTAGTTCTGTATCTCATCATTTGGGTAGGACAAGAAGAAATGTTTTAAGTGATCTTCTCTGTTTAAAAAGTTAAAACACAACAGCAGACTATTTCTGGCTGATTATTTAGTTTTGGCGTGAATTACCCTAGAGGGTTGAAATAGATTTAAAATGTTTCAGACTTCTTGGTGGAAAGGAAGCCACTGACCTTTCTTATTGAAAGTGACTTAGTATAGAATTATTTCCCCTGCACAACCGTATGCTTACCATGTTTGCAGTATATGGAGAGGGCCTACTTTACAAAGAGCTCCTGAGGTGTGGCCCCTGCAAAGCAGTGGTGAGGGGGGTGCCCAGTCAGTGTGAGGGGGAGTGCCAGAGATGGTTCTAAAAATGACACCCCTGAAATGCAGAGTGACGTGGACATTAAAGTTGTTTTTCCTTTTGAAATGTGGAGAGAGAGAGAATGAGGTGATCATCTTGGTTTTTTCTGTGTTGGGGTATCATGAAGCCAAACCAGAGAACAGTTAGGGAGAGCTGCCAACATGCGAGCACACGATGGAAACCAGGCTGCTGAGTCTGACCGTCTGTCGTACGGAAGAGGAGGAGCAAGCAGTTCAAAATGAGAAATGGGAGCCAGTCGTTCCGTGGGACCCAGAGTAGAGCAGTCTACAGCCAAAGCCGGCTCTCCGTCTGTCCCCAGCTCCTTCTCAGTTCAGCACTTCCGTCGGCACCCTAAAATAGAAGCATGTGTATCTACCTGGGGCAGAGCAGATCTTAACGTCCATTCACTAACTTTTCAAAATGTGTTACTCAGTATTGCACTTTCATCTCTCATTATTTGCCTAGGATTTTTCAGCTTGCTTATTGAAAGTTTTTTAAGACCAGGTTGATTATTGTCCTTTTCACCACCCTTATTTTGAATTTATTACATCGTCATTATTTCAGGTGCTTATTATTTTGCTTGATTTGTTCTGTAATGAAAGACGGAAGCGCTAGCTCCATTTTTATTAGTTGACGTGCCACTTATGGGTTGTGATTTGATTAGGGTACTTAATTCAGTACCAGGAAACTAAGAGGCTGACTTTTCCAGAATTGACATTGGCATTTGGACTCAGGTAGTTAAACATGGGGTAAAAGTATAAAATAGCAGTTAACTTACCTGTTGTAGCTGTAACGAACGCTTGTGTGTGATTGCTCAGTTCGGCCAGACGACGACCTGGTGACTTGCAAGGCTGTATCTGAAAAGAGCAAGTACAAATTCGATAATAAGTGCTGATTTTTTATTGACCTTTCCTTAATGGTATATCTATACAATTATAACAATTTTTGCCCTTTTCTGAGATAATGAATTTAAATGTCTCCAGTTGAAGGTGATATAACTTTTTTGGGGTGGGGCATGGTAAAATATGGAAAACATAAACATGTCTTTTTCATAAAGTCTACAATTTTGCAACTTTTAAAATTCCAGGTCGTGTTTGGAGAATTTTTCTTGTTAGTGAGTCTGGGTCTCCTGTGTTCTTATCTGCTGTGTGTTTTTCCATAGAGTGGCTCTCTGGCCCTTTTTCTGTGATTGAACGTTTTAGGTTACTTCGATTTCTTATTGTGAATGGTTTTCCAGTGAACATCCTTTTATATGTCTTACTGCAAACCTGCGTGAGTTTTTCAAGAGTATATATACCAAAAAATGGAACTGCTGGATCATAAGTTCTGTGCATTTTTTATTTTAATGGACCCTGCCAGGTTGTCCTCCAGAGTGGCTAAACCAATTTCCCTGGTAGTATGAGAATACTGCTTTTTTTAAAGATTTTGTTTTTTTCCTTTTTCTCCCCAAAGCACCCCTGGTACATAGTTGTGTATTTTCAGTTGTGGGTCCTTCTAGTTGTGGCATGTGGGGTGCCACCTCAGCATGGCCTGATGAGGGTGCCGTGTCTACCCCCAGGATCCGAACAGGCAAAACCCTGGGCCACCGAAGTGGAGTACGCAAACTTAACCACTCGGCCACGGGGCCAGCCCCAAAAGAATACTGCTTTTTTTCCGTCAACACTTGATAGTTATTATCAGTGTTGGTCAATCTGATGGGTGAAAAATAAAACTTCATTTTTATGTGTGTTTCCCTGATAACTAGAAAGATGAAACACCCATTTTTATTGGTCACTTGTATTTCCTCTCCTCTAAGACCTGTTTATGTCCTTTACCCATTTTTCAGGTGGGTAATTTTTTATATTGATTATTAGCATTTAAAAATATAGTTTGTGTACTAATCATACATTATATATAAGTGCTTTCTCCCATTTTGTTGCTAGTCTGTTAGTTTGGTTTAGTGTTTTGTGTGTGTATGTGTCTGTTTGGTCACAGATGTTATAAACTGTGTTGTCAGTTTTATTCAGTTTTTTCCTTTATGGCTTTTACTTATATCCATATATATATATGAGTCTGATTCTGAACTCTGTTCCATTTATCTATTTGACCTTTTATGTGCTAATATTACACTTAAATTGCTATAGTTTTAAAATATATTCTGATACAAGGCAAATCTCCCCTTTTTCTTGGCTTTCTTCCATATGAATTTAATCATTCGCTTGTCAGATTTCATGAAAAATCTTAATGGGATTTACATTGGAATATTGCATTGAATTTATAGATTAATTGGTGGAGATTTGGCCTACTGATTTTTAATGTGAGCTTAGATTGCCTTTTTAAAAGATTGATCATTCTTTGTTCTTAAATGGTATCTTTAGTAGACGAGATGGAAGATACAACCCTTAAGAGGTCTTTCCTGCCATTATTGGTTAGAATACTGGCTAATCTGGAACAACAGAGACTCAAAAATGAAATGGTTCAAATAAAACAGTTTGCTCTCCTGTATAGGCCAAAGGAGGTCATGAAGGGATTGACAGCCGCACGTTTCTTTGATTTTGTTGCTCCACCATCCTAAGGGTTGGTATTTGATTTTGTGTGCATAGTTAGAGGCAGGCTTGCCAGGATCGCATCACCGCTTAAAGTAGGATAAGGGGAGGGTTGGTCCATGCCCAGTTTTGAAGGGAAAAACCCTTGCTTCTGTTGGCTTTCCGTTAGCAAGTACTTAGCTGTGTGGCCTCCTCCGGCTGCAGTGTCTCTAACTGGGCAGTCATCTGCCCAGCCAACACTCAGAGAGGGGCAAGGGTCTGTTATGGAGTGGAAGTGGATTCTGGGGACAGTTAGCAGACTGCATTTATCAGGTGACTTTTAAAATATCTAACTTTTCATTGATTTTTTCTATTATAAAACCCTTCTGCAGTTCATTCATTTTAGAAAATTTAGACAGGATCTATAGGTGAAATGAATAAAACTAAAGTTATAAACCTACCACTGGGAGATCATAGTTATCATTTGGGAACTTTCCTTCTGTTTTTTTTCTAGTTTTCGATTATGATACAATCCTGGCATACTCATGGAGCGTAAATGAGTGCTCACGTGCCACCACGCACACTGGTCACATTAGCCCTTTTGCCTTATTTGCTTCAGCTCTTGTCTCCGTGATGAAACGTTAATGATAGTTGGAGCCCTGTGTGCCTTCCCCGATCACCATTCCTCTCCGTTCCTCCCAAAGACAGTCGTCATCCTGATTTTCATGTTTATCATTCCATGTGGTCTTTATAACAATGTATGTTGCCAGAAAAAGGAGATAGTATAGTTTTGCAGAATGCTTTGAATTTTATAGAAAATAATATCATTTGACACTTTTTCCTGATCTACAGTGATTTTAGTGGGTGGCTGCATATAGCTCTACTCTTAGAGTAATCCACCGTGTGGGTACCGTATATCTCCATGTGGTCACTGTCCTGCTGTTGGAATTCAGGGTTTTCCTCAGGTTCCCACTGTTGTAGACGTTCTTGCACGTGTCTGCTTATGTAGAAGTGCAGGAGTTTCTCCCGTGTGTACCAAGAAATAAACCTAAGCCAGAAGCCATGTAGATCTTCACCTGTTCTCGATAATGCGAAACTGCTCTGTAAATGATGGCGCCAACTTCAACTCCCAGAAGCAATTTCACCAATTTGATGGGTGTAAAACAGAATTTCGTCTGTGGTTTAATTTGCATTTCCTTGATAACCAGTGAGAATAAGCATCTTTCCGTGTTACTAGTCTTCTGTATTTTAAAATGTTCTTTGCATTTAAGTGTTAAGTACACCTGAGATTTATTTTGGGCGTGAGGTAGGAGTTTGATGTTATTTTTCTATAGAAATAACTAAAATTATTCCAGTATCGTTCATAGACTAGTTATCCTTTGTATATTTTTATGTATTTATTTATGAGTCTGCTATATAGATACAAAGTGTATACACACACACACACACACACTTTGTTTGTGTATATCTGTGGGCTTTTTATTCTGATGTTATTTTTTTGTCTACTTTTGTACTAGTATCACACTCTTAATTACTTTAGCTTTAAAATAAGTCTTACTATCTGGGAGAGTGAAATGCCTTTCCCTTCCGCTTTATTTTTCAAGATTGTTTTGGATAGTTTTGGTACTTTGCTGTATGAATTTTATTTTTTTTTTCCTTTTAACTTTTTGAATATTAATACATTTACATGATTCAAAATTCAAAAGGCTTTTGTGAAAAAGAGTTTCCCACCCTGTCCCCAGCCACCCGAGGACTCAGCCTTTGCTCCTTAGAGGCAACCAGTATTACCGGTTTCATATATATCATTCATATCCAAGTAAATAGGTACATATTTATACATTCTCCCTTACCTAGTGTGTTCTACAACTTTTTTCGCTTAAAAATTTATTTTGGTAATCTTCCTATATCAATACATACATAAGAGCCTCATTCTTTTTCTGAATATATGGTATGTCATTTGGCCAGTTAACTTTTTTTCTCATTTATTTTTTTTGAGGAAGATTAGCCCTGAGCTAACATCTGGCTCCAATCCTCCTCTTTCTGCTGAGGAAGACTGGCCCTGAGCTAACATCCATGCCCATCTTCCTCTACTTTATATGTGGAATGCCTGCCATAGCATGGCTTGATAAGTGGTGTATAGGTCTGCAGCTGGGATCCAAACCGGCAAACCCCAGACCGCTAAAGTGGAAGGTGGAAACTTAACCACTGTGCCACCAGGCCGGCCCCAAGATTTACCTCTGTTTGCTTCTAATAGTTTTATAGTTTGGGATCTTATTAAATTTAGGTCATTGGTCCATTTGGAGTCCTTTTTTGTATATGGAGTGAGGTAGGGGTCCAGCTTCATTCCTTGGCATGTGGTTGTCCCAGCACCATTTGTTGGAGACAAAACCATTTTCCACTGAATGGTTTTGGAATCCTTGTTGAAAATCAGTTGGCCATAGATGTTTCTGTTTATTTTTGGCCTCTCAATCAATGAATTTTACAGCTTCACTAATAAAAGATATTTAGGTTGTTTCCAATCTTTTGCCATTAGAATTTTGCAGTAAATGATCATTTCATTTATACTATATCATTATAGTATCATTTATACTATGTCATTTTGCATATGTACCTCAGTGGAGTTTCCTTTGTTTTATAAGTAAATCTTTAAATCTTTCTTGTTGCTATTATAGATTATCTTTGTTTTTTAAACAATCAGGTTTATATTGAGGGTTATTGAGTTATAATTTTCATACAAATGTAGTCTTTTTAGTTACACCGCTAGATGTCATGATGCCAGAAATTGTTGCCTTGTCCCATTGGAGTCAGTCTCCTTTTCATGCCTCCTGGCGACCAGTGACCTGATTTCTGACCCTGTAGATTTGCCTTTGCCAGAGTGTCGTATAAGTAGTCGTGTAGCATGGGGCTTTCCGTGTCTGGCTCCTTTCACTTAGCATAATGCTTTCGAGACTCATCTGGTGGTAGTGGTGTATCTGGTCCATTCACTACTGAGAAGTGCTCCATTGTATGGATGTACCACACTTTGTTTCTCCTTTCCCTTGGTGGTGATGTTTGGGTTTTCCCACTTTTAGGTAGTTAGGCATAAAGCTGTTGTACTCATTCACGTGTAGGTATCTTTGTGGACGTGTGTTCTCGTTTCTCGTGGGGTAATATCTAGGAGTGGGTTTGCTAAGTCATCTAGTAAGTATAGGTTTAATTTTTTTAACAAACTGCCAAAGTTTTTCAAAGTAGCTGTGCCAGTTTTGCATTCCCACCAACACTATTTGAGAGTTCTGGTTGCTTCATATCCTCACCAGTACATTATAGGTCAGTTTTAAAATTTTAGCCACTTAATAGGAGGTACTTTATTGTGG